TGGCGTAACTGCTGTGTGTGATGCCCCTGGCCTGCTCCTGGTCTGGGAAGGCATCTCAGAGATGGGGGAGAGAGGAGGACCTGTTTGGATGCAATAATGTTAACCAAGCAGTCACTCATTCTGATGGCGTTGGCTGAGTATGGGTAGAATGGATGGGCTGAGACTTTGAGGTCAGCCTTGAAACTCACCAGTCGCTTTTTGTTGGTCTGGGTCTGCATCTTGAGCTGGAAAAAGAAATGAAACTCTTGAAAGCCAGTGGGACTTAAGAGGATCAGTCATCTGGCAGGATGTAAATCATTTTGTACTACGGGTGCCCAGAATCCAACAAGCAGGGTGGCTATGCTGGGTAGGTGATTCTCAAACTGCCAGTCTGAACTTCCTAAGCCCGCTCAGGTCTTTCTAATTCAGGAACATGACACCCTCTATCCAGCCCATCCATCCCAAATGTGTAGTGGATAAACGCAACTCATTTCTTGAGTTCATACATCTTTCTGCCTATTTTCCTGCTGCCTTCACATTTCCCCAGCATTATCTTCTAATGAGTAAAGACAAATTTTGCTTAAGCTTCCAGAAAGAGTTTGGGCTTGATTTGATCGGCTCTTTCCTACTGGTTTTTCTGGCAGTTCATGGTATCAGCAAAACATGCATTCCTGTCTAGGAAAAAACCATTCCTGTCTAGGAAAAAAGGCAACAGCTGGAAAGGACCCTATGCATCATCAAGTCCAGCCCTTCTCAATGAGGCACAGGGGGGAATTAACTGAACTCTCAACAAGCCACTGAGCTATCCAGCAGTTCATATGGCGAGCAGATCTTCCTATTATTTTTCTTCACTGCCAGCTTTCATATCCATACAAAATAATCAGGAATGCCATAGTGTGGATAATCTCAACCCTCTGTCTCCAGTGACACACAGTTGAGTTTCCTCCATAGTTGCTCTTCCAAGGCTCAATTTTTGACTTGTCTCTTGACATTCCCATGTTATCACTTTCATTGTCATGAAACCCTAGAAGCTACAGGGCAAGATGGAGACATCTTTAACTACTAAAAATTGCAGCCACCCAAATAACTTTATGGCAACAGGATTTCAACCATGATTTTTGTCATCCTAATATGCAACTGCAATCCTGTATTACTGCTTTTTTTCACCTTCATCAGTAGTCATTTCAAGTCATTGCTGCTTTCTGTTAGTAATATGGTGTCATCTACATGTCTTAGCATTTCTTCCACTGATTTTCACTCCGCCTTCACCTGAATCTAGTCCAGTTTTCTGTATAGTATGCCTTCTGTACAGATTAAACAGACACACAGAGAAAAATAATCCTTTGTCTGACATCTTTACCTGTAGGAATCCATCCTGTTTCTCCATATTATGCCCTAACAGTACTTCTTGTCGACGATATAGTTCAGGCATCATGACAATCAAACATCTGTTTCTTTTAGAATAATCCATTCCTTTTGTAATCAAAAACTTTCCTGTATTCTATAGAGCATAGATTTTCTTCTGAAAATCTTTGGTAACCTGTTGTCAATGTATACATACACTGTGATCTCCAGTACAGATTAAGCAGACACACAGATTAAACAGACACACAATCTCCAGTATCTTTTGTTTTTCTGTGTTTAGTTTGAAGATCAGGGTTTTTTTTCCTCAGTTTTTCTTTCTATTTCTTTGCATTATTATTGTAATAATTTTCTTTGTCTCTACCTGATAGTCACCAAAAAGTTGCATTTAGGACTCTGACCCCTTTTTTCTGTAACCTTTTACTTTTGTTTCTCATCTGTTATTAATATTTTTTCATAGAATCATAGAAAAGTGAAGTTGGAAGGGACCTAAAGGCCATCAAGTCCAACCCCCTGCTCAATGCAGGAATACAAATCAAAGGATATCTGCCAGGTGGTTGTCTAAGATTCTCTTGAATGCCTCCAGTATTGGAGCACTCAACACCTCTCGAGATAATTGTTTCCACCATCTTACTGCTCTAACAGTTAGGAAGTTTCTCCTGATATTCAATCAAAATCTGGCTTCCTATAACTTGAACCCATTGTTACATGTCTTGCACTCTATGATGATCAAGAACAGATCCTGCCCCTCCTTTGTATACTTTCAAGTATTTGAAAAGTGTTATTATATCACCACTCTGTCTTCTTTTCTCAAGGCAAAACATGTCCAATTGTTTCAGTCTTTCCTCACAGGGCTTGGTTTCCAGCCCCCTGATCATTTTTGTTGTCCTCCTCTGAACTTCTTCCAATCCTTCTTGAAATGTGGTGAGAATACTCAAGGTGAGGCCTAACCAGTGCTAAATAGAGGGGAACTAGCACCTCACAGTATTTGGGAACTCTGTTAATGCAGCCTAAAATAGCATTTGCCTTTTTTGTAGCCTCATTACACTGTTGGCTCATATTCAGCTTGTGATCTAGAGTAATGTGATTTAGAGTTATGCTTCCCACTACACAGTATATTTGCTTTTTGTATTGGCTGCTGGGTCACATTTGTTTTTCCAGCGGTGTGTTCTGTTTCTTGAAGCATGTATCTGGAAGAAACAGAACATTGGATTACAGAATTCTGTGAGTCAGGGTGCAACTACACTTGATTCACAGCCTGTATTACATCTGAAATGGCAATCAGTGCCCACACAGGGGCTGCAGGCTGAATATGGAGTTCACAGTTCATTCTTGTTTGTGAATTAAGTCATATTCCAGCACCACAGCTCCCACTTGCTCCCTTGCTGGCTCCCTCCCTCCCTCTGATCCTGCCTCTGCTTATCCTTCTTTCTTCTGGTCCCACTTCTACCAATCTTTAATGGTTTGCAATGAAACTGCTTTCTCATTTCAAGCTTCAGACTACTACATTTTTCAAAAAACATCTATAGAAAATTAAATGGAAAGGTAATTAACATTCTAATAGTGCAGACATGAGAAGTTTGAAGAGTAAGTTTGTAAAATGCATCACAATTCTTATGTCAGCATGATTCCAAAAACATTCTGATCACCACGTTCCCATCTATTACTGTTTCCTCTTACTTTTGAATAACACATGCAGGAATTGCCTCATCTCTTCTGAATGGAAATGAGATCATTGTTGCGTGTGCTACTGTACTTGAAAGTAAGGCAAAGGAGTAGCAGATGGGTGATGGGAGGTGGTGATCCCATATGAAATAATTTTGAGTTGTGGATCATGATGTGTGTTTTTTTCCAAAATTATTCTTCATACTTTTGATGTTCTGTATTGTGAGGCACTGAAGTACCTTTCCATGTTATTTTTCTATTAAATAGTTTTCCAAAGATGTAGTAATCTTGCAGTGAACCATAATCATGGTGCTTTGCTTTTGCATGTCCCCACTTCATCCTGAACATCAAACCCTAACTGTCTAGTCACTGAAACATCATCTACACACAGAGAGGAAGTCTTTACAAAAACTTATCACAACTAATTGCTTGGGGGAAAGTCCATTTGTGTCCCTCTGACTTGAAAGGCAGAGGGGTGGGGGGGAAGCTGCTTTGGGAGCAAAATGGGCTGGACCAATTTGCTTCTGCCTTAGCATCATACAATCAGTTTGAAAAATACTTAAAATTCACCTTTTGTATAAGCAGATCCAATCTCACAGTATTTAACCATGTACATAGTTGTACTCTCACTCCAGTACTTTATTTCTGGCCAAATTCTCCAACATTTGTTCATTCACCCATGCTTCTGCATAAAAACTTTCAGTTTCTTATTCTTCAACATCTGTTGCTGAAGCATAGAGTTGAGTTATGGCTATCTTCATAATATTTCCAATAGGCCTGGTTGAAATTACTCATTCAGAATTCTCTAACTACTTCTGGCACATCTTTCCTCATTATAACAACCACACCATTTCTTCTGAGTTTGTCCTTTCTAGACTAAAACATGTTGCAATTGTCTGATTGAAAATGCCCTGTTCCAGTCCACTGTAGTTCATTCAAAACAAGTGCTACAATGTTTAAAGATTTCATTCCTTACTTTTTCAGTTTTGCATTCCCTTTGATTCATACTTTTCATACTCCAGGCTCTAGTTGTGTAGGTCATATAACACCGGACATTCCTTTTGCATCTGTGTACACTGGCATGGCTCCATAAATGGCAGAGCTACTTGTACTTGTACTTTGTTCATCCCCAGTACTGTAGCTGACCGAATGCCTTCTGATCTGGAAGTCTCATCTTGCAACACTATCTCTTGTTTCTTTTTTAGACGGTTACTTGCAGCGTTTCCAAGGTATAATTTATTCATAAGTGGTTTGCCTTCTGCTATCTAGTACTAATGAACGTTAGCTTGAGTTTCATTTCCGTGTCTGTGAAAAATTTCCACCTGTGTCACCTTCCACTATGCATTAGTGCTGCCCAGTAACTGCCCTTCCTATATTTCTGAAGCCCTCCCACTATTGAACCTATCAGTTATCTTCTGCTCATGTGACTGTTAATCCTGAAGAGGACGGAGGCATCTTAGTCTGGTGTCTCATCTTAGATCACTCCAGTTTGAATTATCCAACTAGGAGTCCAGATTTATAA